TTAACTTTTGAAGTAATCGAAGTGTGGCAGTTTTGTTTTGGTGAACAGAAGCACCGTTTTAAGATCATTCTGCTGACCAACACAAGATCATCAGGCTTCACTGCTGCAGTCTACTTTTATTCTGCTATCAGCAAAGTAAATAAACAAAGACCTCGACTGATATGGAAAGCTGCTGCCGAACTTTTACTACGCTCTAACAGAAGGGAGCCTTTCACCGGCTGCCTTATTTTAAAACTTTATTGCTTGTTTTTAAGCCTTAAATAGTCCGGCTCCTGCCTGTTTACTTGACCTGTTAACCTTTCGTGTTGCAGTTCACTGCCTGATATCATCCTGCATCACAACTTGTCACAAAAGGTGGTCAAGCCTTTGCTGTTCAGTCATCCACAACACATACTTTCCGTGGTAACAGATCATGTGAAACCTTTGTTTGAAACTTTAGAAACTCTGGAGGGCTGTTGTCAAAACACATTCCTTTATGAAATGTAACTCGTTGATTCCTCTAAAATTTTCCTCTAAATATAGTTTTCTACCAATGTTTGATTTGTCTTAGGCAATTCTTGATACTCAGTATTTGCATAATTAGCTTTTTGCACGCACAAACAACAAAAAAAACAATAATAAAAAAAAAGTCCTTCAGGGGAAAGCTGTGATTTTTACAACATGTTGCCTACAAATTGTGAAACAATCAGAATATTTGCTAACTGCTTTCAAACACGCAAGTACCCAAAGGTGGTACTTTTTTTTTTTTTTTTTTTACCCCGGTGTGTTGTTTACCCTGTTTTGTTTTAATTGCCTCCTTTTATGCGCTTGCTTTTGGCTACATTCTTGTTGCAGACAAAGCTGCCCAAAACCGAGTTTTGTTTTTGCCCTTATGCGACCCATTTCAGATTATTTTTATTTTTTTTAATTAGTCTGAACGTAACAAATCAATTTATTTTTTCGAATTCATCCCATGTCATTTCATATGTGGCACTAAATCTAATACGTATACAATTTTTTTTCAAAGCGACCTGAGTCTGTATGGTCATGATCATAGCTGTCGCAACATTTATATGTGAAGGGGACGTGTCCCCCCCACATCTAAAGAATATTCATTTGGACACCCCCACATTTACCATGAAATATTAGTTCACCCAGCGCTGTTTCTATTTCTTTGTGAAATAACCCATTCCACTTGATTAATAGAAGAATACTCAAACCACTAACAATCCACTCTGGGTTTTCCTGCTTTTCTACAACAACTCCACACCACAAGCAATATTTCCCTCAGGTCATCGGCCTTGACAGGGCGTTCATGAGGAGGAGGGGGAGACACCTCTGTTCTGCGTGCTAGCTTAGCGCTAGCAGTTGTTGATGGGTTAGGGAGGTTTGGATGTGTGAGAGAAGCGGAGCGCTACATTTGTAACATCTTAGCTAACGAGTTTGTATTGCACGCCGCTAGCTAGGTTGCTTGAGAGAAGCAGAAAGTGATCTATTCACACAAGGAGAGCTGTTGGTCAGACCACTTCTTGTGCCGTGCTCTAAAATATTTATTCAATCGTGCTTACTTGTGTAAATAAACATAGACGTTTAATGGCCTGTTAAAATACACCAGAATGCAGGAAATGACATCTACTTTATTCAAAATTTTCTGGTGGAGGACCCAAAGACCCCCCCCCCCCCACACACACACACACATTACAAATGCCTCTGTCAGTGGTCATGATGCATTATGGCTGACTATCAGTGGTATAAGGATCGATCCAAGTATTAATTGAGTTACCAACTTCATGCAGTTAAAATCTTTGGAACTCTGCACATTTTAACAATTGAACAGAACTCCACTTGCTTTTTTAATCCATTCAAACTTTATTTATACAGGTTAGTCTCATTGAGCCTCGGGGACTCATTTATTAGAGAGACCTCTTTTTTAACAAAGCATGATAAACAGTAGACAACAAAGACAAAAATAGACAATTATAAAATAAAGCAAGTAAATGGAGAAATGAAAGCAATGTATTAAAAAAAACAACAATTAAACTGCTAGATTGTAAAATGAAGTAGATCATGTACATCGATGCTTCATTTAGTTTCTTTTAACTTGTCATGGTCTGTATGATTGAATCTGCAGCACCACATGATACTAATGTTGGTGTTGGACCGTAATACTACCATGATGGGATCCATACTTGAGTTTGTCTCTTTCTTAAATACGTCGCTCCTTTTCCAAAACTACAACGCTGCGCTGGAGTGGTCGCCAAGAGGCAAGATGAAAAGTAAACACTAGACCAAACCGTCATGTCGGATAATAATTTACTCTGTTCTGAATGCACAACTTCAGAATCCATACACACATGCTAACATGTGGAGCATCAATAATCGCTTCCATAAACGCAGCGTGCTGCATGTGACGTTTGTCTGCGCATGTGGGCTGCATCAGGGCCAAAGACAATTCACACCGGAGTCTGATTTATTTAGTTTTTATTCCTCGACTGCTCCCTTCTTCAAGTGTCGCTACATTGAACTCGCTCACACAAAGACTTGACAATTGTTTTAATGCCGGATGAGCTACCACAGCACTCTGTGTGGAGCAGAGAGCTGCCATCTAGGGTGCCCAGGGGAGCAGATGTGGGGGTTAAGGGCCTTGCTCAAGGGCACAGAGTGGGGCAAATGAGGGTGGAGGCAGATGTGGATGTTTCACCTTTCCTCCGCCACATGACCGACAACAGTTGAACCAGCAACCTTCTGATCCCAGGCCCACCTTCTCTAACCTTTGCACCACCACTCCCACTTGAGTCTGATGGAGGACACATTTGAATTATAATGTGAATGAGGCCAAATAAATACAATTAAAATAAAAAAAAAAACAGGATCTGAGCAAAAATTTGTAATCTAGCATTTGAGACCTGCAGTGTGAGCAAAGCCTGTGTGGCACAGACTGTAATCTGTTCTTGCCAGATGAAAACATTTTGAACTGACTCACTTGATTTTTGAGTTTCATTAGTTTCACTTTACCCAATTCTCATCTGCGTCGCTCGACTGAATCACAGAACCATGAGGTCAAATCACTGCAAAATGCAAAGTTCTCTCCCAACTTTAATCTGAAGCAAATGTCCCCAAAATTTTACATCTCATATCATTTCGCTTCTCTTTGTGTTTTGGAACAGACTCCTAAAGCACGTAAGAATGTTGATTTATACATGGGAGGACGGTTATTGCAATTTTTGTAAGCAGAAATAATAATTAAAAAAAATTGATCCACTGAGGATTTATAATCTTGTGCTAAAGAGAATTAAAACAAAAAGCTTTGTTTGTGTAGCTTTACACCTTGTTTATGTTGTGTTTTTAACTTTTTCTAAAATTAACTATAAGAACAACAAACAAAACTTAATGAACAGCAATCATTTTCTAACAAGTGACCAGCAGAGTGAAATAATATCAAAACTTCACAACAAAAATTTTTAATCTAAAATATTTCAGGGCTAAAACGGTTTCAGATTACTCTGAAAACAGCTAGGGCCGTCAAACTCCGTTACAAAATGGTCAAAATTAAAAACTTATTTCAAACAAAGGGTCAACTTCAGTCAATATGGTATAATAATATTATAATATGGCCTCCAGTCGAATACACAGCATCTTTTCTTGGCTGCAGCTTCCTCAACAAGAGTTTTATCTGTCTCATTTGACATCAAAATCAAAAATTATGGAAAAATTCAAGCTAGTTTTCTTGGCTTCAAAGATGTCCAACTGTCTAGAGACGTCTTAACTAAAGTAGGCTCAGTTCTGAAGTAAAATGAAAAGCAATTGAAATGTTTTACTTTAAAAATATTATCTTAGGGGCCAGATGAGATGTTAACAAGGGCCATATTTGTCCCTCGGGCCTTGAGTTTGACAGATCTTGTTAAATAAAAATAATTTGTCATCTCAGACAAGATTTTGCACACCCCAGTTATCTAAAATGTCCTTTATTGTTTTATCTATTGTAAAGCCAGTGTGGATTAAGGAATTACCTTTACTGGATTACTCACATATATTACATGAATATTTCCGTTGTTTGAGTACAATAAATCTAAAAACTTTACTTTTCTCATTTCTTTGATTGTGCTCATCCTCACTATTACACGCTTGCATGCTTAAAGCTGTTTTATTAGTTCTTTCTAGTTCCTAATGGTTCACTCTTTCCAACATTAAGAAGATTTTGCAGAGCCAGCAGAGATGCAATGGTCTCGTGTCAGTAAGGTGCACCGCATCTTTTCATGTCATTCTGGCTGCCACCCAGTTATTACTTCTGTTTGTTCCAAACAAACAGGAGAAAGTGTTTCATTTTTATTCATGTCTGAGGTTTTCCCAGGGTTTATCATGCCAGCGAAATGGATTCAGCTTGTGAATAAGGTTTTACTTGGTAAGATCATTTCTGTGCATGTTCTGCAGCTCTTAGAGGCAGATGACAGGGAGCAGAGGTGAGTGTGATGAGTTGGTCTTATAGAAGTGCACGGGCCGTGCAGCAGTTCATCCGTCATATGTCAAACTGCACTGCACACCTGGTGTCTCCTCTGATTAGCAAAAGAATCTGTGCAATGAAGAAGTTGTTTTAAAGTGTTCAGCTTCAGGCACTGGATTGCAACACTGAAGGACGCCTGTTTGTTTATGCAGCATGCAACAGCGAGCGTGTGCAACCTGGGTGTGAGCTATGCAAATATGTCTATTAATGACCTGGTGGAACCCTAACGCACCTGGGATGCAGCAGAACAGGATTTAATTACTCGGGATGAACTCCTTTTTACTGTTTCTTGTCATTCATAAATCAGCTCGAGCAAATAAGGACCCAGGTGGTTTTTTTTTTTAAATTTTTTACAAACTTTTAGTCTAAACAAAACCTCCAGCCAGCTCTGCATTCAGTTTGTTGCTGTGCTGCTAGAGTGCTTTTCATGCATTGGCTTTAAAATGTTTAATGCATTTACTTTTTTACATTTGTACTACTTTTATGTGAATGATATGCTAAACATTTTGTTTTGCCTCCTCAGATACAAGAAGAGTTTTCTCAGAATCATCATTTGTGTTGACATCAGGCACTAAAACAAGGTAAATGAATCATAAATGATGACTTTTACAGGCATTGTAGAGTCATTTTACACTTTAGTGTGTTTTTTTAAGCTCTAATTTGGAAATTGCTTGGTGCAAGATGTTTTTGGGACCATCATAATATTGGTATTTGTTCTTTTGTGTACACTATTTAAGTAATTTTCAATCAGCTGATGGACTGACCCACATTATGGTGCAGACTTTTACACATTTTGTTAGTTTCTTCAAAATTAAAAGTTTGCCTATTACTTTGTTTCACGAAAAACAAACAAAAAAAACACTTGCTGAACCAACGATGCTCTCCCCAGATAATTAGTTGAAGTGCCATCTTGTGAGTCTATGTTTGTTTTGTATGTTTCGTATAATGAAATGTGTTTTGCATGTCATTTGCTGTAATCGCAACAATCACAAAGCATGATGTTGGTACAGGAAGGTACAACACAGTTGCAGCTATTACCGTATTTTTCACCTATAAGTCACTTTTTTAGTATAATTTGCATGCCCTGCGATTTATACGCCGAAGTGACATCTTTATAAACCAATTTTTGGCTGAGATATGACAGTTTTCATTCATTTTGACTGCAAATATTAAACACAACCATTTTCAGCCGCTAGATGGCATTCAAGTAATATGGCATGCCGTTGTATCATGTAATAGGTAAAAGTGGCTATTAATGACACAGTTGGCTCGCCATAGTCTGCCACCGTTGCCTGCCTGGAGCAACCATCAAACCAGCTTCATTTCACTGCACCGCCCCGGTGAAATGCAGCTGATATGACCATTAAATTGCATTTATTAAGTAAAAGTTAGACTGAGACACACCTTTTCTATAATGTCAAGCAAACAAATAATTGTTTTTAAGTATTAATCTTGTTAAATTCTTGTTAAAATCCTCACATGCACGCCCCCTTGGCCGCTATTTGGCAGCCAATCGACTTTTGGCATAGCACCAGCCCACATTTCCGGGTTGTCAGTGGTGACACATAATAGATGCAACATATACGGCGAAGCAACATGTTTATGGATTTTTTCCACTTTAGTAGACATTTTTGGACTGATGCGACTTATACAGCAGAAAACACGGTGCTTTGTTTTACAAGTGCAAACTTACTGAACCGATGATGCTCTCCCCAGATAATTTAGATGAAGTACCATCTTGTGAGTCTTTGTTTGTTTTGTATGCTTCGTATGATGAAATGTTCTTTGTCATTTGCTTGTCAAAGCATGTTGGCACAGGAAGATACAACACAGTTGCAACTACTGTATTAATTTTTGTAATTGTGTCTGCAGCCAGTTTTCCTCAACATGGTTGAAACTGTGCAAGATGCAGCAACAAAACTTCTCAGGTGTTCAGTTAAAAGTGGGCGTCAACAACCTTTTGGTCACTGAGTTCTAAAAATAAAGGAGCCAGGCGGTGTGTGGCACTTTTTTCATTATCGTAGCCTCATTATTTGCAGTTCGCCACTCTCTTTAACAGTTAGTATATTTCATGTACAAGCGGGTATGATATCATTCACGGTACCACAGATGTGATACATTGGAGGAATGTGAATGTTATTTTGCCGAACCAGAAAATAATTTTCTTTGATTAAAGGAAAAAGCTGATATTTGCACGGAGATCAGAACAACGTAACCAGATTTTTTTTAGGACTTTCAGAGCCTTTCATCAGTGGTCAGAGCTGCAGTCTTGTAATCCTGAAGCATCAGGTTTGAGCCCAGGTTGTATCTGGAAGGGCATCAGGTGTTTAAAAACAAAGTGACCAGATCTTTTATGCTTGTTGTGGCGACCCCTGCAGAAGGGCCGTAAGCTTCCATCCGTCCATCCATTATCTTTTACTCACTTCTTTTTCGGGTCGCGGAGGTCACTGGTGGCCATAACCATTTATCACTGTGCGAGAGGCGGCGACCTGGACAGGTCGCAAGTCCATCACAGGGACACAGAGACAAATGAGACAAACAACCATTCACTCTCTCACTCACACCTAGGGTCAGTTTAGAGTTACCAATCAGCCTAACATGCATGTTTTTGGTCTGTGGGAGGAAACCGGAGTACCCGGAGAAAACCCATGCATGCACAAAGAGAACATGCAAACTCCACCCAGAAAGGCCCCTGGCTGGGATTTGAACTGGCAAACCTTCTCGCTAAGAGGCAAAAGGTCTACCAACTGAGCCACCGTGCCACCGGGCCGTAACTTTTAAATATGTAATTGCTTCTTAATTTTCTCACAAACTCTGCAAAATAGAAGCAAAAGATAAAAAAGATAAGATCAAGTGGAAGAAGAGTCCATATCAACAAGTTGCAGATGCTGCCCAGTGGCTCGTTATGATCACCATGGTAACCACATATCTGTGTCTGCTTGAAAAAAAAAAAAGTGATTGCGTAAAAACCATAAAAGATCCCAAAATGCCAATCCATATTTATAAAGTTCACTGTAAAAGCATTGTTTAAAGCTTAAACAGGTTGCAGAAAGTTGATGTACGCTCCAGTTAGAGAGGTTCGAAGAAGGCCGGGGTCTGTTTTGCTAAAATCCCACTGGTTGTGAAAGTTCTGTTGTACAACCAACCGCCACCAAAGGTTACACGCACACCATTCCCGATCAATCTGCACGTTTTCGTAAATAATCTGCGTGTTTTATTCCAAAGCTGTGCTTTTAATACGGATGCTTCACTGTTTAGGCATCGGCATCAAAATTTGAAAGTGCTAATCTTACCTTTCTGTCACAAGTCATTACCAATTTAATTGTGTACGTGTCCAAATCATTAACAAATAACTTTGTTTGTTTTTAATATATACGGTATGATTTTATGTATCTGATGCGTTTTGTGATTTTCTTTTTCCTTGTACGATAGGAGAGAATAGAGTCAGTCCCTTAGCCTCAGAGCCAGATCTTATCCAGAGACACTTGGATGATTTAAGGTCCTCTGGTGTCCTAACTTAACGCCGTGTTGTGTTTTCACTTAAGAGGATAGTCCTCATCTGTCTGTCCCTGTAACACACACTCACAAGTTTACACACACACACACACTGAGACACGCGAAGTAGTTCTAAAACTTGTTGACAGTCACACACAACTTCCACTTGAGTATGTACCAGCAGGGTAAGACTGTATACATAGAAACGAAGCGGTGACAGTTGTGGGCTGGCAGAGCAGCATTCATGGCTGCACCACTGACTGCAGCCCAGCCAGCTGCTATCAGAAGAAAAGGGGGTCTGAATGGAAGTGACAGCCGTGGATTCCTCAAGATGATGGAGGAAGACAATGATATGAGTTAGTATTTCCCCATTAACTGTTGACCACCTCTGTCTGTTAGCGAAACCATTTGAACCACCAGACAGATTTTAGTACAATTATCACAAAGTAATAATTGAAATACTATCAATTAATAATTAAATTAACCATATAAATTTATTCAATTCAAGTCGGCTACCACAACAAATTGACTTTAGTCAACCCCAAAATGACCATAACACTCTCAGCTATACAGATATTGAGTTAAAATATTGATTTAGTATTCAATGATAATAATCCATAACATATTCACCGAGCGCTAACACGTTTTGTGAGATCTCATATGATAGCATGAGTTTGCTTATATATTTTTTTCAAGGCTTGACAAAAATATAACTACCGTTTTTTCCAGCTTATAAGTCGCACCTTTTTGCCTAATTTGCATACCTTGCAGCGTATACATCAAAGCGACTTATTTGTTTTTTTCCCATATTTATAAAACCAATTTTTGACCGTTTTCATTCATTCTGACATGGAAAATATTGAGCACTACCATTTTCAGCCGCTAGATGGCACTCGAGTTAGTATGGCATGCCGTTGTGTCATGTAATAGGTGAAAGTGGCTATTAATGACACAATCGACTTGCCATAGCCTACCACCTTTGTCCAGCTCGCCTGGAGCAACTGTCAAATCAATTTCATTTCGCTGCGCCGCCCCGGCAAAATGAAGCTGATTTGACCATTAAAGTGCATTTTATTAAGTAAAAATTCAACTGAGACACACCTTTGCTATAATTTCAAGCAAACAAATAATTGTTTTAGGTGCTTATCTTGTTAAATTTCGAAGAAATGCACAGCGAGTTGTCCCTCTGTGCGCTCCTGCTTCCGTGTATCGGTTTTTGGATTGCAGCTGATTTGACCGTCAAAGTGCATTTATTACAAAATGTTAGACTGAGACACACCTTTACTACTTTGTATAAATTTGAGCAAACAAATAATTGTTTTAAGTCTTAATCTTGTTAAATTCTTATTAAAGTCCTCCCGTGCACACTCCCTCGGCCACCATTCGGCAGCCAATTAATTTTTGGTACAACACCGACCCACATTTCCAGGTTGTCAGCGGTAATTCATAATAGATGCGACTTATACATCGAAGACACTTATTTATGTTTTTTCCCCCAATTTATTAAACATATTTGGACTGATGCGACTTATACGGTGGTGCGACGTGTACGACGGAAAAGACGGTCGAACTCCATCATGCCTCATCTTATGATGATTGTTGTTTAAAATTGGCATGGAAGGCGTTCAGTCTTCATCCTTTCAAGGAATGCTACAATTCACTCTCTCACTCACACCTAGGTACAATTTAGATTTACTAATCAGCCTAACATGCATGTTTTTGGTCTGTGGCAGGAAACCGGAGTACATCTTACATTTTCAAGTCGTACTTGCCTGCAGTTTTATTTAAAAAAATCTGCCTTTTGTCCAACAGAATTGCTCAGCTGCGCACATTTTACAAATATAGCTTGTTCAAAAAAGTAATTTCAGCATAAGTGTTTATTAAAGAAACATTTACTGGTAGGATGAGCAATTTGAGTGAGTGAGAAAACGCAGAAAGTCAGAGTAAAGAACATGTGATCCCACTGTCAGTACTGGACTATTCATAGAGATCCTGAGTTGCACAAGGCTGATTTAGCAACTGTGTGGATTTTTTTTTTCTCCTTTGGATGCATCCTGAAGCCTTTTGCACAAATTCATGAATCACT